TCTGTAGAACTTGTGATCAGTTTGACTGGATAATCTCTTGAGTGGCTCAGCTCCTTTTCTTAATATCTTGGAAGCTACATCAAGTGCCTACACAAAAACTCATGATAATATTAAATGTACATGTACATACACAATGAATACATAATCATTAACTATCAATCTAATAGGGACAAAGCTCATTAAAAGAACTCCTATTGATCTGTGTACCTAATTATATTAAACACAATACAGGTAAAGGAATAGTACATTCACACTATGGCCAATACTATGCCTTTATAATCTTCTATATTGAGGTACATGTATTGTGAATGCATAACTGAGTAAAGTAACAAATCATGAGAAGCTAACCTTCTTTTTAATTTGGTATTGATATGAAGGAGGTAATGTGTATTTCTTATTAACATAAACTGGATCCAGTGACAAGTATTGATGATGATTATGAACAATTTGTAACACATCAGACAGTACACTAACTTCAGTCAATGCTTGCCTGCAATAAACACAAAACTAATGAAGCACTATGGTGCAATGGACTCGCCTGCTGGAATTCACCTGAGTGATATGTATTACTTGTACTGTGATATTTTAAGCAATTTGAAAAAAAATTATTATTATTGACTGCAGAGTTATAATGATAATTAAAATAAGCTATGGGTGTGGTCAACAACTAACTAATCATGGCACATGGGTAGGAGAAAGAAGAAAAGCTGAAATTTATTTTAGCATCTGAAGCTCTATTCCAAGAAAGAGTTGGCACAGAAAAATTTTCTAGTTATTTAAAAGAGACCGAGAGAGTTAAGTTGCTCCTGCTTTCCCCAGTGCCGCCTGAAAAATTCTCAAAGAGGCTAAATCACAAACTTTGAGCAACTGTAACTCACAAACAACGAAGTTAGGACAAAATCGTTCTTTTTCTTTTTCGTTAGATGGGATTTTCTACCTCTGAAGCAAATCTCGGCCCTGTAGAGTGAAACACGAGCTCTCACCTGGAGAGAGGTCCCCTGGTTTAGCAGTTCACAGCTTTTGGTGCCACGGGATGCTACAAGAGCATAACTAGATGAAAGAAAGCAACTTTATCTGTTGCTAGAAGAAGAAATAGAGCTCTAGACTGCTCAGACAAAAAGATAATTTTTTTACAAATCAATTAAACTGTGTGGACAGAATGACAGAATGACAACCCAACTGCTTAGTACCCGCCTACGCAAGCGTGGCGAGTCCAATAATAAAGTTTAACTATCCTTTATGTATGCAATACATTGATACATGATTTATACTCTTGTTTATACAAATTCATGTATTTATGTACTTGAGTTTTGAGTGTGTGAATTCCCACGGCCAGCGATGACTTGGTTTCTTAGTTGTAGGACCAGAAACTCCCTCCTCCTCCTCCTCCTCTTGTTTCTTCTTTCCTTCTTCTCTGTCATTATCATCATCAGCTCTCTCTTCTCTAAAGTCAACATGTTGAGCTAATTCACTTAGTTTCTGAGAGAGAGAAGGTCTCCTACAAATAAATACATATACACATACAATGTCATCATTTGTATGCTATGACTAACTAGACTACCATAATACATTATTTACAAAAATAAATAATATAATAATTTATTATGAGCGAAGAAATGGTAAATTCTGGATTATTACAATAAATGAATGTTACCCTTCATATATCTCTTCTCCATCATAGTTGATCTCCTTGACTCTTGTAGTATGGAGTGATTCCACTGAGACCTTGAAACCAGCATCACCATTGGACGCCATGTGTGACTTGCGGGCAAATCAAGACCAATTAAAATTGCGGGGGTGTTGGCAACAAAAATCACGCAAACAAGGGCGGGGGTCATAGACAAGCAAAAGAAGAGGCTCTGAAGAGGCAGCAGTACAAGCAAAGTTACATTTGAAGCAGCAGCAATTACAGCTAAGTGAGTTAGATATTATTAGCTACCAAAAGATTATTCACTTTCTCATAGGTAATAATGGCAGAAAACACAAGTCCAGCTATCACTATGACTTGTGAGGTTTGTTCAGAGTATTACACTGACCCCCTCATGCTTCCCTGTCTTCACTCATTCTGTAAGAAGTGTCTAATAAAAGCTAAAGAGAAGCAAGGTAGTGCTGATACCTCATTAAAGTGTCCAACGTGTGACACTAGCGTTAATTTACCTGATGGTAAAATTGAAGGCCTCACTCAAAACCTTTGGTTTGAACATAAATCAAAAGAGGCTTCGATCAAAAAGAAGATTGTTAGCAATGAAGCAATATCATGTGATAAATGTAGCGTTGATGATTCCAGTGATGCAGCTGTTGTGTATTGCTGTGATTGTGGGCAGTTTCTGTGTGATCTTTG